CCACCTTACCAAACATGATATCCTTCTCCAGTGACTGCTCCCTCCTGACAATATGTCTGAAGTATGAGAGACGAAGTTTGGCCATCCTGGCCTCCAAGGAACACTCTGGATGCACTTGTTGGTTTCCAAAACTATTCATCTTTACTGGAGGAGACAGCCTTATCTTGCTATACTGGGAGCAACTGATAGATTTGAACTGCCCACTGTGTGGTTAGCAGTCCAACACTCAACCCTCTGTGCCAGTAGATATATTTTACCACTCTACATATGTCCACAAATGATCTGGAAAGTGCTGTGGATACTGATTTTGGAGTTGCAAATACATTTTAGCAAATAGGCGAATTCACAAATATGGAATCCAAGAATCATGTATGTGGGAAAATGGTACGGAGAAGAAAAGGCAGTATTTTCTGAACACTTTCCATGAGTTAGGCAGGGCTCCAAGCATGCACAGCATCTTACCCAAGCCATGGTATTTTCTATCATTTTATAAGTATAGGAGAGTAACATTTAATAAGGAAGACCAGTGAAGAATTGATGCTTTTAAACTATGATATTGGAGAAGAATCTTGAAAGTACCATGGACTGCCAGAAGAACAAACAAATCTGTCTCAGAAGTACAGCTAGAACATCTCTTAGAAGCCAGGATGACAAGACTTCGTCTCATGTTCCATGGACACGTTACAAGGAACTAGTCACAGGAAAAGGACATTATGTTTGGTAAAGAAGAGGGTCTTTATCCCAACGTGATGGATTAACACAGTGGCAGCAACAATGGGCTCAAACATAACAACAATTGTGAGGATGCCACAGGACATAGCAGTGTTTGTTCTGTTGTGCATAGGGTCACTATGAGTCAGAGATGGCACCTAACGACTGAACAAGGTTTTCAAAACTGTGGCTTTTCAGAAGTCGAACACCAGGCTATCTTCTGAGGTGCCACTTAGTGGATTCAAACGAACAACTCTTTGGCAAGTAACCAGAGCGTAAGTGTTTGAGCAACACAGAGGCTGTATACAAGTTTTATGCCTTTCATTGTATGTATGTGACTCTAACAGTTCCAGGAACAACCATCTAAAAGGTTGTTCCCCTAAGACAATCCTGTGTCTTCCAGCTTAAGAACTGCCTACATTGGACCTCCTGACTTAGCTGAGCAGTACTGAGCAATCTCTTATCATTTGGGGAAGGAAAGGGCATTCCTCAGTTGAATAGAAACTGAAGCTGTCTGTCTCATAGTAGTGTGTAGGACCCGACATATAGTAGATTTCCAATAAATAGAAGCTAGTTCCAGACTTGGTGAGTGAGTTCTTACTAGGTACCATTGTAAACACAAAATCAGCAAGTGATTTTGCCGACAGATACTGAAAGCTATGTGCAATGTACCCCAGAGTTACTAAGGAAGCCTCCCCACTATCCCACAAGGCTGTGGGCTCCTTACAATTGCCTGGGTTGTCCTCAGACTGATGGATAGCATTGTCCCTACAAGGTTTTCTTTTTTCTTTAAAAATGTGCATTGAGTGTAAGTACCTAAGGATCTCTGAAGAGCTTGCTGAAGGCCCCCGGACCTACCTATGGTTTGTAACAACCAGTACAATGTCCCTAGAGGACCCCTGCTAGCAGATGTCCCAGTTTTGATGTCCTCAGAATCTGCTCTTGGGAATGAGATTTCTTTCTTGAAACACTTTATTGCTTACTCCTAGAGCTCGATTCAAACCACAGTCTTTCTCTTTGCAGCAGGAGGCTGAGGGCTTATAATTCCCAAATGCTGCACCTGTGGTTCTGGCCTTTTCAGTCTGAATACACTTCCTGATTATTTTCTGACCTGCATTGGCCTTGACTGCCTTATTCAAGCAAGCACCTTAAAAAAAAAAAATTTTTTTTTTTTTTTTTTAACCTGGGTGAAAAGAAATACGGTAAAAGCTGTTGTCACACAGGCACCTCCTGTTTTTGAATCTTTCCTCTTTCTAATACTCAGGTTCCCAGTGTCCTCTGCTTCCCGTGAATAAGAGCTACCAAACCCTTCCTCTGAACCCTTCTTCCCCAATCCAAGCTTATCCATTACAGCTCCATTCTATCTTGTCTCTAATCTTTGCTTGTTGCTGTTAATTGCCACTGAGTCAGCGCTACTCATTGTTGTGTTTTTAGTGCCATCGAGTTGGTACCGACTCATAGGAACCCTGTATAGCGTTTCCGAGGAGTGGTTGGTGTGCTTGAACTGCTGACCTTATGGTTCAAACCAACCTTGTGGTAGAGTGCTTATCCTACAGTGCCACACCAGGGCTCCAGCTCTACTCACAGGGACCTTATATATAACAGAAGGAAATGTCACATGGTCCTGCACCATCTTCAGGATGGTGATCAATTTAAGGCCATTGTTGTGACATGTGTCAATCCACCTCTTCAAGGATTTATGTCCTTTTCTTGGGCCCTCTACTTTACCAAACATAATGTTCTTTTTTAACAAGTGATTTTTCGTGATGGCATGTTCAAAGTAAGCAAGTTAAAGTCTTGCCACCCTTGCTTCTAAGGAACAATCAGGTTGTATTTCTCCTAAAACTGCTTTGCTAGGGAAATGATAACTTAATCCAAGATAAGGATGCATGTAGGATAATTCAGAGTTCACAGTTAGGATTAGGAGAATTTACAATCTCATTATGACTTTACCACTTACTAGCTATGTGGCATTGGGCAAACTACTTCACCTCTCTGGATATTGGTTTCTGCGACTGTGAAATGGAGTGAATAATGCCAATATGACAGGATAGTTGTGATGATTTAAGGGATAATGTGAGTGAGAAAACCTAACAGT